GTATTTCAAAATGATTTAATTATTTTCATTTTTATATTTATATATAAGAAATTATTTTTTTTTCGGTGAAAATAATTGTTTTTAACATTCAGGCCCGGGCTACTGGCTTATTGTGTTGTTTAGTATAAGCCGTTTCGAAACCCGTATTATACCTGTATATAGAGCCACGGACTAAGATAATATACCTGATGTGAACTATAAAAAAAAAATAAATAATATCGGTACACAAGGTGTGAAGAATGTTATGATGATATCAGAAAATCTGAATTGTAAGGCATCCCTCCACTTATCTTGAGGCAATTACGACCACTGTATATAGTAATATACATATAATAATACATTTACAAATACGTTTTTATTTATGATTTTCAACTGAAAACTACTAATAATTACGTTATAATAATCAAAGATATACATCAAATATAAAAAAATATTTAATATATAATGGTCAGTATGATAAAAATATATTTGTTTATATCATATAAATAACTTTACTTTAAATAAGTGAAATAAATTACACTGTGGTGACGTAAACAACGCACCGCGAATCGTCCAAGTTGTTTACAATATTGTCAGTGGATAAGGGGAAATCCCATGTTCTAGAATATGCGATGATTATCTCGTTAAGGTAATTTCGAGAATGTTCTAGACAATCGACGCCGATTTATATATACCGGCTGGTCAGACGCTCATTCAATCAGTCCGTGAGTACAATCCGCAACACACCGTGAATTACACTCCGCGATACATTCGGCAATTCCTCCGCAATTGTAACGCGTATCGATATTTGTACATACATATTTATATAATATAGTGTCTATTTTAATTAAATTGTGAGTGATTTTTATTACTTAAATCCCACAACACTATACAGTCAATGATTTTATGAATTATTGAAATATTATATTTTGTCCGTTTCACAAATTGAATTTGCCTTTTTTTTCTAAATTTTAATCCAGTGTAATGTATACTTGTTTAAAGGTATTGATTTTTATTAGAAAATCATAGTGACTTCAGAGGTTAATAAATTAAATTTCAATTTTCCAAACGAGACTGTAATACAGATCTAGTCGGATTGAATTGCGTTTGGAGAAGCAATTTATGAGAACGCTGGAGTGGCTGGAAAAAAAAAATATATATATATATAAAGAGGTATGCGTCTATTTTAATAATAAAAAATGATACTTGAAATAACCATAAGTGCACATAAAATATGTGAAATTAAATCCCGAAGGTTTGGTGGTCGAAAAACTATAAGTAGTGGATGCAGAGAAAAAAATAAACGGTCGTCGATATTTTATATATATATGTTTATATTTATCATATATATATTTGTTTTTTTTTTTTGTTTTTGTACATTCTCGGAGGGAAACCCAACGCCACATTAAATAACTTCTGAACGATGTCGATTAAACGAAAGTCGATAATTCACAATTAGTATTCCGGGCCGGACTCTCTGTTCAACATATATAATACGAACGGTGGTCCCTTTTGTTTTAATCTGGATAATACATTAAACAAAACTTTTTTCCCCTCCTCTTAGTGCGGTGTAATGTGTGCCTCGTGACCACCATAAGCTTGCCGCCAAACGTAAGGCTTTTTCCCACTCTAATAAAATCATGTCCCTTATCGGCTTCACGTTGGTATTCGTATTCCGTACCCCGTACCTGCTGCTACCGTTATCGAAAACCAAACAAATAGTTTTTACGGTCCACGCGAATAATTGAACGCAATGAAAAGAAAACAATAACGCCGTTACGTATCCGTTTGGACTTTGCTTTTTTTTTCCTCTGCCACTATCGCACACTAGATTAAGTCGTTATATCCTTCTAATTTACCGTCGGACATATTTATAACAATAAACGTAGTATGTAGGTCCTTTTTTTTACCATTTTATGAGACCACATTTTTGGAGGCTCTTCTGAAGAAATGTATCTGGAGCCCGTTAAGTACCAAAACGAAACTGCTTGTAATACTCTAATAAAATTACTAAGTGACATAAAACAAATGTTTATAAACAATAAAATCAAAAATCCAATAATTTTAAAATGTATAAAGAATAGCAATAATTATAAATATAAAGTATATATATAATTAATATTTATAAATAATTAGCAATAATAATAACAAACCTATTATGACAAAACAATTTTTTTTTAACATTTTTCTTTTAGATTCTTACTTTAAAAGAATATAATCATTTATCCTACCAAATTATAAAGTCTACTATTAGAAGATATTTTTCATATAATAAAAGTACAAATTATATTTAGTAGTTTAAATAGTTATTTTACCTTCATCGTTGCCAGCCATAAGTAGGAATACCAAAATTTTCGTGAATATTTACAATATCATGGTCTTGTTCGTTGTCAGAAATATCCAAACTATCTTTATTATCCGACCAATTAGTATTATAAAGAAGTTACAATAATTTTTCGTTATTTAAAATGTTACGATTTATATCATTGACTTATTATCCTCTGTAGAAAATGTACAACATAATTAGATTTTAGTATGATTCATATAAAAACGAATAATATCCACCATACTGGTGTATTTATATGGAGTCAATAAAATTTACCTGAGTATGTAGTTTTTTTTTTTTTTTTTACATAAATGAAGATTTTATGTATATAAAATGAAAAAATAAAACTCACATAAACGTTAATATCACACAATGTATTATCCAAAATTAGGCGGGAAACTAAAAATTGATTATTTATCAAATCACTGGCGCCTCATATTTAACTTGTAGTTAAATTATCCATAAACATCGGAAGTTTGTAGCCGTACCAGCCTGGATGCCAAGTGGTTGAGCAGAGCCATAAAGCAGGTCATATATATGTATATATTTGTTTTTTATTGATTTTGTTCTGGTACTGATTGTATTATTATTTATTAATTAAATTCCCTTTTTTATTAGTTATTTATATATGAATATTTTGGAAATAAGATATAATTCACTGTAATTTATAAATAATACATAACACAAAAATAAAAATGTTTATTCTGAATCATCCGAATATTCTTCATGGGAGAAACAATTAGAAATGACATATAATCAGTGTTGTGCTTTAGATAAATTTATCTAGATAAAAACTTCATATCGTTATCTTATTTAGATAAAAATTAAAATTGACATCTAATTTCCATCTAGATAAATTTATCTAGATAATTCACAAAATCTGTAGCTAATCATTAGTAATAACTTATCTACAATTTTATCATTCAATATAAAATAAATAACTTAATAAGAAATTTCATTTGTATATTTACTTGCAAGAATTGGTTCTAAAATAGTTTTACATAGCATTTATTATTATTTACGAACAATAACAATTTATTATGTATATAGATATATATATTACCTACATAATATGCATAGGAGGTGAGAATTATTTATAATTTCATAGTATGGCCCATATGAGGAAGTCTAATGCCCGTATTACTATTGTTCTGTAGTATAAGCAGGCACGTAGTCAGAAAATATTTACTTGGTGGGCCCCCTCCTCCCAGGACTTTTTTATATTATAAAAAGATAGTCATCAGCGTATCATTACTACAAATATACATGTATATAACCTAATAATATCATATTTTATCATTTTGCTCTTCTCTTTGTAATTTTAGTTTTCTTTTGGCACATCCACTGAAAGGTGCCATTTTAAAATTAATTTAAATATTAAATATATAAGATAAAATGTATAAATACTATAAATTGTACAAATATTAACGCAGGTGACGTTAGCATAAGTGCGGCGTACGCTGAATGTGAATGTAAGTGCCCAATCGGAGATCATAATATAATTCTATATTTCTATATGAATCAATACAATGACAATACCCTCGCTCAAAGTATTTTAAAAATATACATACAAGCAGGGCCGGAACTACGGGGTGGAAGACGGGGATTCATCCCCGGGCGTAACATTTTAGAGGGTGTAATTTTCGTAATTATTAACATCTAATTTGATATTTTTAACTTCGTTAAATACTGATATTAGGTTAAAACTCAATAAGTACGATTGTATATTGATTATAAGAATACAATTTATTTGAGTATTTGTTTATTAGTCTATGGATAGGGCGTAATTTTAACATTTTACCCGGGCGTAAAAATTCCTAGTTCCATCTCTGCATACAAGTATACAATAGTCACTGTCTATATATAATAAGAACAACTTGACATTGTAGTATAGTACCGGTATTTAGCTATAAATAGCAATTATTTCCTAATTGATCGTTTAAATTTAGTTACAAGTTACATTACTTAGATTATAATTAAAACCCGATGTATTTGGTTTAATTTGCGTCATATATAGGCAATATTAAAAATTTGGTAAAAATTAAAAGCAATCATGTAATAATGAGCCCATCTCAATACTTTAGGTGGGCCAGGCACACCCTGGCCCTCCTTTAGCAACGAGCCTGAGTATAAGAACGCAGAAAGAGCATTTACAAGAATATTAGAACCAAAGATAACGCAACATAGGTCTAAACTGGTTATTATTGCAGCTGCGCGGTAGATGGTTTATAAATAATAAAATATAGAAATAATTATCGATAAGAAAATAGCAATATTACAATACGCTTTACGCTGTACCATGATTTAAGATAATACTGGTTAGACGACGAGTGGAGATAATTGATTTTTTTGTGACTGGTAAACTAAATCGCCATATCAGTAGCTGCTATAGAACTAATGCATGTCGCTCCCAGTGTTTTTTTTGTGAACTAGATATTATCATTTTTCCCAGGCTATTAAAATAAGATTTAAATCGGGATGGCTTATACCCATTTAAAGCATGATTTAAAAATTAAGATTATATATATATATATATATATCTTAAATCATGATATAAATAGGTTTCTTAAACCATGATATTATAAAGCATGAATCGTTTGTATTGATACATCTAGTCATACATATAACACGATTTTTACAATTGCTTTTATCCATTTATATATTTACAAATATAATAAATTTTAAATATTATATATGAAAATGAAATGTTGTATTCCATTTTGCAATGAATTAAATTCTAGTACTTTTAAAGTACCTAAAAATTCATTTGATGTATGGTAAAATTCCCTAAACATAAAATTGAAATCAAATTCAAGAATTTGTGAGAAACATTTTAAAAAAGATGTTATAAAGACATGGGTTTCAGGTAGCAAACAAGAGAACCAGTATACAGTATGTACATTTTATTATTATTACTATATTACTTCAATAGATACTTAAGTATTTTCAAATATCATTGTTTTTCAAATGTTAACTAAGCCATGTATAGCTATAATTTTAATTGTTTTAAGATATATTATAAAAGACCAAAACTTCGGTTAGGACCTATTCCTACGATTAGTGTTACAACAGAGCAAAATGTATTGACTGACTTATCAACTTCAAAAATGGTACTGTATTAAGTGTTATTTACTAAGAAACATATGATATGTAAATATAAATTAAACTTGTTAATTAAATAGCTAGGTGGTAATGAAGGTGAATCAATCGATTATACAGAAAGCAGTGATCAATCAATTTTTGTCAATTCTAATTGTAGTAACTCAATCTAATTGATGTCTAATAGTTGTACCATTCCAAGAAAAATAAAGGTATATTTAACATATTATTATTAAACATATTACAACCAAAACTATTAATAATTATTCTCATTTTGTTTCTGCGTTTTAAAAAGACTCTTGAATACACCCAAAGCAATCCCAGTTACTCTAATAATAGTAACTCATCTATTTATAGTGAACCTACAAATGTATTTGAATATTTAATAAGATCAATAAACATGATTAGTTTGCCATCAAAATGGTTTATGGATATTGATCTTGAACTTAAGGATCTAAAAAAATCATTTGTAGGATTTCACTAGTTGGGTGTCTGTAGAGATGATTTTTCAAGAGTTGTTAAAAAACAAATTATATTAACTGAAGGTATGTTTTTATTGATATAGATTAATTAATTAAATATTGATAGTTAAAAATATTATTAATAGATTGTAGTTTAATCATACATGTGCATGGTAAGTTAATAAACATTGAACAGATAGGTTTATTATCTAATTTCAAACCTGAAAATGTTAAATATTTAAAAAAAATTTTAATGTTATTTGACAAATTAAGAATTTGCAATGTGTCAGTATTAATTAAAAAGTATGCTGAAATTAATTCAAAATTAGGAACTCAGTTTGTTGAATCATTTAACCAATGGCGACATCGTAACTGTACAATTATACTCAACAATAGTACTAATGAAAGGTAAAACGATATTATATATTTACAAAAAATTGTAATAATTGAAAAGAAACATTTTAATTTTAAGAAAATATTTTAATGATGAATGTATATGGTGTCAACGGCTGTGGTATTGTATAAAAACTAAAAAAATTAAATAAATTCAAAAGTGCACTTTTCACTAAATAATAAAAAATATATATTGAAAATACAAAAAGCTAAAGATGCAATTAAAAAAAATTACACTAGAGCAACTATTAAAATAAATAAACTTTATGACAGATTAAATAACATAAGAGTTCAAATGAAAAAAGTATCAGATGCTAATTTGAGACAAATTTTGGAAAATTGTAATGTTCCTAAATGCCAACTTGATCTAATGAATGAAATATTTAAAGTTTCTAAACTTACAAATCCAAAGAACCGAAGATATACTGAAAATTGAATATTACTTTACTTGCTATTTCAAATAATTTAGAATAAGTTATGGATTAAAAATATTTATTTGTAATTTTGTATATTGAAAAGGTATTTATTTAATTTAGATCGCCAAGTTTTTACGTGAACAAAATATTCTTCCGTTACCTTGTATTAGCACAATAAGAAAATACTTGCTAGTCTAAAAATTGGTTGTGGCTTCGATCCGATTTTTTTAAACTATTAAAAAAAAAACTATTGAATAAAAACAAGTTCCGGAGAAAAGGCATACTTCTACTAGATGAAATAAACTTAAGAGAAAGCATTACTGTCAATAGTAGAACACTAACCTATACTGGTCTAGAAGATTATGGAGAAGAAATAAAATCAAAACAAAAAAGCAACCTGAAAGCTAATAATGCATTAGTTTTTATGTGGCAAATTTTTGGTGAAAATGTAGCACAACCTATTGCTGTTTTTACTTCACATGTTCCTGTAAAAGGTAATGTAGTTAAACATTATATTACTGAGTAGGTTATGACTAAAGATAATTTTTTAATATAAATTGTATTTATTTATTATACATAGGAGTTGATCTGGCCAAGTTAGTTATTAAAGCAACTTTACTAATTGAAGATTCAGGAGGAGAAGTAATCGGATTAACTTCTGATGGTGCTTCTACCAACAGGACAATGTGGAGTTCATTAGGAGTAATAATAACAACACATATACCTATACAAATGCAATTAATTATATCTAATAAATAATAATATAGATTTCAGCAAAGAAAAGTGATTTTAAAAACTATTTTGAAAATCCATATGATCCATCCAGAAATATATTTGTGTTTTCTGATGCTCCTCATTTATTGAAAACAATTCGAAATAGGTTGCATAAAAATAAACAATTTCAGGTACCTAGATAAACAAATTGATGAAATATTAAACTGAAATAATTTTTTATATTTATTTCACTTTTGTAGATTAATCCTTCAATGCCTCCTGTTAAATGGGAATATTACAGTAAAGTGTTCAACATTGAATGCAACTCTCTAATTAAAGTTTGTCCACGATTAACAAAAGAACATTTTGAATTAAATAATTTCTCCAAAATGAAAGTAAAATATGCTGTACAAGTTATGTATCTTTTAACTCAATTAAATTAAATTAATTTCTAATAAATTAATTTTTAATAATTATTGCTTTCTTTTGTATTTTTATGGAGTTTAGGTTTTTAGTAGATCATTAGCAATAGGTATTGATTTTT